CTGCTGATTGCTAGACCATTCCTGGCTCCCCTAGCTTCACCCAAGACTGTCATATGCAACATTTCCCCATTTTGTTGTCATATTTTGTCCCGCATTTTGTCTGATGAATAGTGACTCAAGGCTATCCACTCAGGTGTCCACTTAGAAACAACAGATGGCTAACCTGTTTCTGGACAATAGAGAAGAGATTGGATTTATACCCCGCCCTTCACTACCCAAAGGTGTCTCAGAGCATCTTACAAACTCCTTTCCCTTCCCTTCCCCACAACAGACACCCTGTGAGGTAGGTGGGGCTGAGAGAGCTCTGACAGAAACTGCTCTTTTTCAAGAACTTATCAGAACTACGGCTTGCCCAAGGTCATCCAGCCAGGTGCAAGTGGAGGAGAGGGGAATCAAACCCGGTTCTCCCAAGGTTAGAGTCCACGCACTTAACCACTACACCAAACTGGCTCTCAATACCATACCAAAACGTTGGGGAAAACATAACAGAATGATTTCTCAAAGGGAAAAAAGTCTCCATGTATCTCAAACTAGCACATCATGTGGAAAACCAAACCAGAACCATGTACACAGATGTCTAATTTTGTATGTATGATGTGCATTTTGTGTGTGTGTGTTGATTGGGAAGCATTACTTGATTCCCCCATCTGTATTCTGAAGTGGTCCACAAATGCCATTTGTGTGGATTAAGACTGAGATTCACGGCTAAGTAAAATGTCAACTCAGTTCTCTTTAGCCCAAACACAGTGCCCTGATCCAGCAAAGGTGGAAGCAGCCATCAACTCGTAAACTCGTAGACCTGATGTGGATGCCTTTGTGCATCCCTGCAATGAGGCTCACCTGGTGCCTGTTCTGGAATGTACTCTCTTGCACCAATGTAATTAGTATAATTTCTGTAAGTTTCTGGAGAAGAGGGGTAAACATGTTGTAATTAAATAAAAACAGGGCTGATAGGATTGTGGGGGTTTTTTTGAACACCAGTTAGGATGTACATCCTCATCTGGAATTTTTATACTCACCTTGTTGATGGCAACCAAAGTTGGATGAGACCCCAGTACTCTTTCCATTATATAACACTATGAGATATTTCAAACCACATCTTTTCTTTATTCTGTACTATACCTGGCTAATGATATTTCTGCAATATACCTCATTTAAATGTCTCCCCAGTTTCTGCAGTTCCAAATAGCCCTGCCGTCCTTCCAAAAGTTGAATTTATGTATTGGGAGTTCTTTATTCTTTCTTTTTTTAAAAAAAAAAAATATATATAATACGACTTTCCCCCGGATAGAAAGTGTGACATTATAGGAGGTGTGATGTCATGCATAGAAAGTGTGATATCAGTTCCTTTAGTTCATTTCCAGATTTTGCCAGTCTTCATTGCAGATGTTCACAGACACATTGACTGGGGATGGGCATGAATTGACTCACAAACTAAAGTTTGTGCAAATTTTGATCAGTTTGTGGTTCACAAAGTGAAGTTTGTGGCAGGTCAACCAGCATGAACTTTCCACTAGCTTTAAAGTTGTTTGTGGAGGTTCATGCCAGTTCTTAAATGGATACATATCTAGACAGACTTCTCTTCCCTCAAACAAAATGTTTACAAAACTTCAAAGCAACGGGAATTCTCCAGCCTTGGAAACACTGTTGTTAGGATCAGACTAGTCATGCTTTTGAGATCAGTCCTTTTAAGCTTGGCACTGGGTTCTGCTGGGTACTTTGTGATTGCACTGGTATTGCTGGGCACTCTGCAACTGTACTGGTTCTGCTGGGCTTGGAAAAAATGCCCCCATTACTTGAATTGTGATTGAGCTGGCATTGCCACTTTGGCACTGGGTTCTTCTGGACACTTGTACATTGCACTGGTGTAGTTTTTGTTTTCCACATGGGTTCAATGAGAATTACCAGAAGTAAAGGGGACTCTGAAACATTGTTGCCCTTGCTTGACGTTAGTCCTGTTGGGTTTGCACTGCCACAGTGACACTGGTTCTGCTGGGCACATTGCGCTGGTTGTGTTGGGCTTGCAAAAATGCCTCCACCTTCAGTTTTTACTGGAGAGATTTTATGGGACTTTGATTCTGTTCTGCTGGGCTTCTATTGTCCTTGCTTTTTTGCTGTTTTTCACCCTCCATTGGAAATAATGAAGGATAGGGGTACCTTCTTTGAGGAGCTGTAACTCAGACCCCATAAATCCAATCAACATCAGACTTAGAGCACAGATAGAGGAGAGTCTGTCAGAGATGTCCTGTGCGTTTGGTGTCCCTTACATGCCAAAGGGCTGTTCTACCAAGCCCTGAACTTCATGAACTGAACCAGTTCATTTGGCTCTTAGAAGTTCATGATGGTTCATGGTTCACACATTGGCCACACCACAAACCACAAACCGAACCAAACCACATTTCCTGGTTCATGCCCAGGCCGGTAGCCTGCATTTTTTTGTTGTTTGGCAGACATTTAAATTTTTAAAGAGGCAGTTAAATTACACTGAATTAAATCAATCTGAATGCCCGTCTTTAAAGGGGGAGACTCTATTTCTAGCCCTTCCTCTCAAGGGACTCGTATGGAGTGAATACTTTGGTAAACGATTGTTGCTGTTGTTAACTGATTCATATCCCATCTTTCTGCTCTTACAAGGCCTGCCAAGGTGACAAACAATTTAGAACGCAGAAAATGAAATTACATTATAAAACCATTAAAATCAACCCTCCTCCCAATTAGATAGATAGATGATAGATAGATGATAGATAGATAGATAGATAGATAGATAGATAGATAGATAGATAGATAGATAGATAGAGTCACAGGAGGTCGATGACGACCCGTCGCTGTCCTCGTCGCTCAAGCTCCCTATGCCACCGAGCCCAGCCACGATGCCTTTCGCCTCCTGGCCTCAGACACCTGGACGGGGGAGGGAGGTTGCGTCACCTTCCCTAACCACCCGTCCCTGCTGGATGGGGTGCCCTCTCTCTCAGCGTCACCCTGCCATCCAGGAGTCATCCCTGGCCTCCTCTCCTTCTTCCCTTTTGTACCCTCCTCCCATCACCCAGTGTGCCCTGCTCCTCCTTCCTCTCCCTGGCCCCGCCCTCCTACAAAGCCTCAGACATGGCTCCAGGGGCGGGGTCCTCTCGACTTCCATCCCTGCTGTCCCGGGCCGCTGAGCTCTGTTGTGGGGGCGGGCTCTTGCACTGGGCCTGTGGCCTGGCGTGGTCGTCTCTCTCCTGGCGTGTTGCATTGCGGCTGCACGGCGGTTCTCTCTGGGGGCCTGGTGGCGGGTGTTGTTGGCAGCGCTGATGCCCGTCCCACTGCCCCTGGCTCCCTCCTGACTCGTCCTGCCTCCCTGATGAGTGCCGGGGGAATTGTGGCACGTTCCTCGTGCCCCATGGGGTTGTTGTCGTTCCTTGCTGTGGGGGGGTTGGGAGTCCTGTCCTCAGGACAAATAGATGATAGATAGATAGATAGATAGATAGATAGATAGATAGATAGATAGATAGATAGATGATAGATAGATAGATAGATAGATAGATAGATAGATAGATAGATAGATAGATAGATAGATAGAGATATAAGTTTAAAAACAGAGTTAAAATACATGAGAAAAATAAAAACATTGGTTAGGAAAAAGGGATCATTGAAGGAATGCCAAAATGCAACAAAGTCCTCATTCACTGGTAGAAGATGGCAACAGAAGGGCACAGCTGAATCTCCCTGGGGAGAGAGTTCTGGAGCTTTGGCTTCATGACCAAGAAGGTCCGCTCTTGGGTGGGCGCTCCCAAAGCAAGGCTGAAATACTGTCCGTTCTCCAGTTTTGAAATTCATTTTAGAAATCTCTAAGCAAAAATGGAATTAAGGAGAAATAGAATTCAGCATGGAGTAAAATTCCAAAACAATGAAGGAACTGGACAGGGGGTGGGGTGAGGGGAGATCCACTCAATTTGGTTAAATAAACAGCAAATAGTACTAGGCATGTTACCTTACATTTTAACATTTGGCATTCTGAAACATTTTAAAATTAATTTTGTTTTCTCTACTGCATTTTCTTATAGCCCCTGGACTATGAGGCTCGAGGGCTATACACGTTGAAAATTGAGGCAGAGAATCTCTATGTAGACCGGCAGTTTTATTATCTTGGGCCTTTCAAAGATACGACGACTGTGAAAATCTCCGTAGAAGATGTGGATGAGCCACCTGTCTTCAGCAGATCCTCATATCTTTTTGAGATACACGAAGATATTGAGGTTGGCACCATCATAGGAACTGTGATGGCCCGAGATCCAGATTCTGCTTCAAGCCCTATCAGGTAAAGGCCAGCATTTAAAAAGATGGGGTTAGATCCCATCAGCTTTTCCAGTGGCGATAAAGGCAAGATGAAGTCCCCTTTGACAGCTGAAAAGGCTATTGTACGGATTGTGGAAATAGCATGGAGGAAAGCCATGTGAGACGGGGGGGGATGTAGGAAGGAGGGGGATTGGGCAAGATTTGGTGATAAACCTAGCTGGATCCAACCCATAGTTGGTAACACCGAGTTAATCATTTCTATAATTACATCTGTTGTGTGTTTTGGTCTGCCTAGAGAAACGAGCAGAAAAGCTTTGTTTGAGATACTGAAAGATAAGGGCTTTCTACCCTCAGTTCCCTTTGCCTGAAATTGATATCTATATTTCGTTCCTGTGCCATGTTATCATTGTTATTTTTCTGTGGCTAGATTCAACAATTTAGGAATTGCAGAACGATTTGTAAAATTCTCTAGCATTCTATGTGATCAAAGTTTCTGTCTCTGTGCTCTCTGGATTCTTGAAATTATCCAACATGTTAATGTCTTCTCTGAGACATTCTAGTGACTATCCTTAATCTCCTTTCTGGGGTGACAGAGACACCACACTGCATGTTGCCAAATATATATCAGTGGCTCTAAGACTCTGTAATACCTATTTAAATGTAGGTTGATTGCTACCCTGGAATTTAATTTAATTTTCTTTGATTATGCTCTTTTTAACTCATCTGAGTTTGTTCTAATCACTTGATTAGTTTTAAATTGCTTAGATTAGAGTTTTTGGTTCTATTATACTTTATTTCTCTTTTTCCCAAATTACCTGCCCAGTAAACCATGAAAGACTGGCTTGGGAAAACAGTTATCCCCCCCCCCAAGTCTTGTTTCAGGGAGCTCACCAAATATCCTTACATTAAGCAAAGACCCACGCTACTCCAAGCCTACCCAGTTAGGACCCACCCTGCCCTAAAACCAGTCCTATTTCTGGACACCAAAAATCAGCAAATACCGTGCTACAGACGATTATAAAATATCTCAAATAATTTTAATATATTTTTTAGTTTTATGTTTTTACAATTTATTCACGATATACTATTTACCACATAAGCCTTAATACTAAACATCTAAGTATCATCTCTTAGCATGTCACAAAAGATATTGCACAACCCCTTTATTAATACCAGTCCTCCTTAATTATACAAAAGTTTTAAGAGGGAGGACTCCTTTAGGTCTATTTTGAATAAGTGCTCAGACTTCCTCCAGCAGAGGTCCAGATATCCTCTTGTTTCAATGTCTTCCTCAGGGAGTTCAACAGATATTTCCAAGCACAAGGTTGCCAAATACCAAAATATGGTCCTGGTCACACGGGCCGGAAAATGCTTTTTTTCCCAGGGGCCGGAAAAAGGGGGGGGGGGGGGAAGCATGGCTGTTTGCCCCGGAGCAAACTAACGTGTGGCCGTCAGATCACACGTCCCGCCGCCGTCCCGTGGTTCGGAGGGAGGTGCCGATCACGCGACAATCCTGTGGCATGACAAAGATGCGGCGCAGCGCGATCACAGCAGCAATGGCTAGGCACCGCTGCCGTGGCAAACGGGGTTGTGGGGTTTTTTAAACCAAAGTATGTGCATGCATCGTTGGGTGTGTGTGCGCATCCCGTGGAGACTTGGGGAAGAAAACCTTTTCGCAACGGGACATGGGCGGGCACCGGATGCCACGAACTACCACCAGAAATGCAATCAGACACCCGCCCTTGCCCCGTGGTTTCTGGAAACTAGTACCTCGGAGGTACTAGTTTTTTACGCCACATCTTTGGCGGGAAGCCTCAGGTTAGCCACAGGAGCTCTACGCTTCCCAGATGTTGCGGTGTGATCATGCCTGGAAAATCCGCCTATCTTCCGTCTCTGTAGCGTGGCTAATGCTCCATGTGACCGCAGCCTATTTATCCAAATTTTTCTATGAACGATGCAAAAAGTCTCTCTTAGTGAGCTCAAAGCTTCCTCCAAAGTGAAAAGCACGTTCATAGCAGCTGAGATTTCTGGACACAGCAGGTTTCTTTAAAAGGCATTTTCAACAGAAAGGACTCAGAAATGGCCCAGAAGCAACCAGCTAGTCCCACAGGAGCAAATAAGAGTGGCACAAAATTACAGGATGGGGCCTCTTCAAACAGCAAGTAACAAGCAGTGGTGGGTGAGACATGCATATAAGCAAGTATTCCCTCAAGTTATCATGACTAAGAGATTCAATAAATGCTATGAGCACCTCAACATTCTTCCTATGCAATCCTATGCCATTTGATGTTGCTAGACTTAGGCACAATCTGCACCTGGCATTTGCTCTGTCGTTTTACCAAACCCAAACTGGAACAGAAAAAGATATGGCTCGAAAGCACATCCAATACCCCGGGTCAACATTGTACTGACTGCAGACTCACCCCTGAATGGCCCTAAAATGGCCATAAACCTATGCAGATGGCTACCATAAAAACAAGAGATCAAAGGAAGTGAAAGAGGCATGCAGTCTGGACACTGCCATGAAATATGACAATCAATGGCCACGTTCAGACTGGCAGTTTGGACCGGCAGCCAAACGTTTCAGGAGCATTTCAGGAGCGGATTAAAGGGGCAGGTTCACAGAGGCACATCTGTCAGGCATCCCCCAGCCATACTCAAGCCGTCTTGTGTCGCTTCCCTCCTGAGTTTAAGAAGTACCAGGTGAAAGTCATAGCAAACCATGTATAGAGCAGGTTGATTCCAGTTCCCTGAGTGTGAACGCAAGCGCTGCTAAGGTGGAAACAACCCACAGTAATTGATAATAGGCACCGGCTGTTTCCCCCAGCAGGAACCGTCGGGGCATGCGTGATCATGCCCTATTTGCCACTGCACCCATGCGTGGAGAGAGCCGCTAACAGCCCACCAGGACGCCCCAACAGTGTGAATGCTACGTTGCACTTCCTCCACGGTATCCTCCCACTTCATTCGCTGCGGTGTGAACGGGAATACCGCAACCAAGCCGTTTCGGGTCTGTTCCATTTTTTCTCTGCCACGACTCCCTAGCACTTCAAATCGACAGTCTGAACGCGGCCAATCAAAGTGAAAGTGGCGTGCAATGCAGAGGGGGATTTCTGTTCCAGGGTGGGTTTGGTAAGACAGCGGAGAAAACACTAGATGCAGAATGGGCCTTAGGCTGTGGTCACTTGCACTAAATAATCCACTTTCGTGGTTAAATTCACTAAATAATCCACTTCCAATCCGCTCTCAGCGCACTTTCCAACTGGATTTTACTGTGTCAACTGGCAACATCCAGTTGGAAAGTGCACTGAAAGTGGATTGGAAGTGAATTATTTAGTGTGTGTGACCTCAGCCTGAAATGAGAGTACTTCTGCACAGGATTGTGCTCTCAGGCTGAAATCACAGACACTAAATAATACACTTTCAATTCACTTCCAGTGCACTTTCCAAGTGGATTTCTTGCCATGTCACACAGTGAAATCTAGTTGGAAAGTGGATTGAAAGTGGATTGAAAGTACCTTATTTAGTGTGTGTGATGGCAGTCAAAGGCTGCGATCACATGCGCCAGTAGATCCAACATAGGTGTGAATGCCTGACGGATCTAAAGGGTGCGATCAGACAGCAATATCTGGGAAGCGCCCCACAGCCGTCAGCAACCCGTTCTGCTCTGCGGTGGAAGTGGAGTTAAAAGACACCGGGGGAAATTCTGGTAGTAAACAGGTTCCGATGGGCCACGGACGGACTTTCCCCTGTCTGATCACGCACGTACACATTCATGCCATCGGGATGTTCTGATCAGGCCATCTCAGCTCGGTGCCATTTCCCCCCGCCCCTCTTCGCAGTGTGCACATTGTTGCATACCTATAGGGGGTACTCGGTGTGGAGGTGCGATTCCTCATTTATGCACATGGGACGCAAACAGCAGAAAAAAGGACTCACCCACAGTTGCGTCTGATCACACAGTGACGGGCTGAGCCCGCAGCTACAAAGGGCTGTGTGATTCCGCAACCGTGGGTCTAATCCCTTCCAAGGGGGTAGCCTCGCTTCCCCTCCGCTTCAACTGGCACGTGTACCTGCAACCAAAGTCTGACGCATTTAAAACCTGTTACAAAGCAGAGTAAATGGGAGGAAAGACCTGGAGCATGGATGAAAGTGCCACTGATCGCCCCCCCCCAGGAAGGGATTTGATCAGAATCTGATTATTGTAGTCAGTTGGCTTCATAGTAATGAAATTCTAAGTGGACAATAAACTGGAATAATGGATAATTCTGGAAGAAACAGTAGTCCCATCGGTGTACACAATATGGTGGCGGAAAACACCCTAAAGTCGCAGCTGGTTTATGACAACCCTGTGGGGGTTTCAAGGCAAGAGACATTCAGGGTGCATTCAGATGTGCCGTTTCAGCCGGCATAAACTGTACCGGTTGGAACCGGTGCAGTTTATGCCGGCTGAAACGCGATCACACTCACCTCCAGTCTGCGGATCCCATCGCTGTATGCCCGTCCGCACACAGCGGGCATCAGCGGGTTTTTTTAAACTCAGTTTGCGCATGCGCATAGGCAGCCATCCACAGAACGGCGAAAATCGGAAGCCTCAGGCTTCCGAACGGAAGTGGCTCTGCAACGGTGGAGAGAGATTACAACCATTGTACTCATGATACCACCACTTTGGGATCTAGTGGCAGAATACAACGGTGTAAAGGGCTTTGCAACGGTTAGGGACGGAAGGCAGATGTTCTACGTGTGAACACCGGTAAGTACACCGATTGCAACCGGCGCCTATACCGTTGCAAACGCTGCATCTGAACGCACCCTCAGAGGTAGTTTGTTATTGCCTGCCTCTGCACAGGGACTCTGGACTTCCTTAGTGGTCTCCCCTCCAAGTACTAACCGGGCTGACCCTGCTTAGCTTCCAAGATCTGATGAGATCAGACTAGCCTTGGCCATCCAAGTCAAGGCTCAGAGAGAAAAAGAGAGACAGACAGAGAACTGTTTCTTATTTTTGTTGCCATCATTAGTATTTATATACACACACCAGGATTGTATCTTGGTTTACCCCTCCCCCCGATAAAAGCATTTACATACACAAACACCAAAGGGAATGTGTACTGAGTATATGGGATTACTCTAGCATAAGTCTGCAATACACACACTCACACATATCTCTTATGTAATAGCTAACAGTGGAATAAGTATGATTATATCTGGTTTGGTCCCCTTGTGGATAATCAAAGTGGGGAAAAACAGAGTCACCCACAGAAAAGGTAGGAGTCTCTCCATACTCGGATGAGCCTCTGAAACATGCAAAAAAACAAAAACTCACTGTGTAAATTAACCAGAGGAGGAGGGGGAGTTTACCAAAAGTGGCCTGGTGAGGACTGAATATGCTCCAGAAGGTGTGGAATGTGGAGAGCCAATCCGTGTTTTTCCACAGCTGATTTTGGCTTCCAGTTTTCTCACAATGGAGAAGGAGATGTAAGTCTGAAGCAGACAATGACACTCCATAAATGTTCCATTTGTCTGAATCAGGAAAACCAGAAGAGTACTATTTCGTATTGTTTAAAAAGAAAAATGAAAATGTTGACACCATTAAAATATATATTTACTCATTTTTTAAGGTATTCCTTGGATCGCCACACTGACCTGGACAGAATTTTCAACATACATTCTGGAAACGGGTCTATTTATACTTCGAAGATGCTCGATCGAGAACTATCCCAGTGGCACAACCTTAGTGTCATAGCAGCTGAGATCAGTAAGTTTATTTGCAATGGCAAACACAAATCATGGGATGGTACCGTTCTGTTCCAAGTAGCTCCCTCCCAAGGCTGTTGATTTCAGTGGCCTTTGAGGGGTGCAACTCTGCTCTGTGAAATCCATCAGCCAATGTTCCCTCTAAGCCGTGGAGTCTTGTGAGCAAAAATTCTACTCTGTGAGCTACTGGCGTTAAAGTTGTGAGCAAGCGATTTGGCTACTGCAGAAATTAGTTTGCTCTGAAGCCATCCTTCCTGAGTGAAGACAAAAATGTGTGAGCTGGAGGCTAAAAAACTGTGAGCTAGCTCACACTAACTCAGCTTAGAGGGAACACTGCCGTCAACTCTAAGGTCCATTCTGCATCTGGCATTTGCTCCACATTTTATCGGTACTTGACCTGGTTCCCCTTTGCCTCGAAACATCTGTTTCCATCGCATTGCCTCGGATCCTGGTTTCTGCATTGGCTAGTGTCAACTTGTCATCTATTTTGTTTTCAGCTCTCACTCCTGCATACCTCAGTGGTCATTAGCTGCCTGAGCCAAGTAATTCATGGTGAGATGATAAATACAGAGGGGGGAATAGGGGCGGGCAAACTGACGGACATCAATGAAGCTGTGTCAAGCTGTCTGCATACTGTTCCCTTTGAACTGGAAGCAAAGGAAGGAAAAAATTGCACATTCAGATACCCTGGGGCAATGCCCTGTTGACTGTGAAGTCACTCCTGAACAGCCATAAACCCATGCAGAAGGCACCAGAGTAGTTTAGTATGATTTGATTTCTTCTGCTTGATTGGGTTTTTATATTAAGATCTTACTTATAAAGGTGGGATAGTAATGCCCCGTCTGTATTCTGTCTTGTTTGTCCCATGGTATGGACTAGCACCTTCTTAAGTTCCTTACACTCGTGGTCATACCATCCACTCTTTACAGTTGAAGAGGGTTTTGTGGGCCTATTGTTTATAAAGTATGGCTTAAGTTGTGCATTGATTCCAGCAAAGATATTTATGGCATCAGTACCATGATGTAATAGAGCCGATCTCAATGCAGTCAGTTCCGGGCTTTTGAGGACTTGGTCTAGTACATTATATAAATGTTCAGACCATCTAAGCCTCCTAAGGCTAGATGTGATGCCTTCAGCAAAGCCCTGGTCTGGAATGAGTAAAGTCATGGGATTGGTGTTAAGTATCAGCCGCTGTGGGCAATGATCACTCAAGGAAGAGTCCACTACCTCAAACCTAGCCACCAAATTCATTAAAGAAGCACAGATGGCTATATAATCTATGGTACTGGCCCTACAAGTGGAAAAGAAGGCGAAGGACCCTCTAGATCAGAATGCACCATGAAACCCGATGAATAAAGTGAAAACAGCATGCAGTGTAGAGGGAGATTAACCTCCCAATGTGGCTGTGGGGAAACGGCGAGGAAACCGATGGGTGCGGAATCAGCCTTAGTCGCCCTCACCCAGCAAGAGCCTGCTGGTCATGGACACGAGCTTTCGTTGACAGGTGCCTAGGGCTACTGTGCAGGGACTGCTGTTGGCAGGACGCACGCAGTTCCTCGGTCCAATCCAGCAGCTGGGACTGCAGTGTGCTTAGGCTTTAACTAAGCAATCAGAGCACTAATTGGCTGTTCAGGAAGGGAAGTGGGACTCCGCTGGCCTCTTCCCATCAGACAGCTAATTACTGCAATTACCAATTCTCTGACAACGGCACAGCCCATATACAGCTGGACGAAGGCCCGCGGTGTTTTATAAAGAAACATCCTGGCTACAGTCCGAACACCACTTGCCTGGGAGTAAGCCCCATGGAGTAAAATGGGCCTTACTTTTGAGTAGACCTGTTTAGGATTCCTCCCTGTCTATCCAATCCTGGCTCTTTTTGCAGACATTGCATGTATTTGTTTATTTTTAAATGGTGTTAGGCAAGAATATCTTTCCTCGTTTGGAGTATATGTGATACCTGGTTTATCTTCATTCTTATAAGAGGAATGCACAAAGCAGCAGGCCTGTAAATCTAGTGGAGAGAAATTTTCTGCAGAGAAAAAATGCAAAGGATTGAGGGAAAAGCCAGGGTGGCATAATGGTTAGAGATTCAGACCAGAACCTGGTAGACCCAAGCTTGAATCCCAATTTTGCCAATAGGAACTTGCTGGGTGACCTTGGGACAGTCACATTTTCTCAGCCCAGCCTACTTACCTCAGAGCATTTAGGGTTGCTAACAGGCTAGGAGAAATATGTCCTTCCCCTTTAATAGAGGTGTCATGTGTGGAAATAGGCAGTTAAAGCTTTTCATGCCCTGGAGCTAAATAACCTCACTTGGTATATAACAGCCCATTGAGCCTCTTATTAAAGGGACAGGACATATTCTCCTCGAGGCAGCAGACAACTTTTACAAAGTGATACTTGTGAGGTTAAAGTTCTGGGCCTAGCAATCTTCAGGTTCTTAAATTGGGGTAAATATTTTTGTTTAGTACCAGATACAACCCACAGAAGTGAATCAGTGCTGCCAGCCAGAGCCTGGCAACCATCAGGAGGGTCGGGGTGGGGATATGGTGAGGGAGTGGCGTTACAAGCATGCTAACATAACTTCTGGGGGGGGGACCTGGAAGTGACGACAAGTACCTCTAGGAACCACCAGGACATCTATGGTAAAACCATCGCTTTCCCGACAATTGCTAGAGCTACTCACCGTCACTTCCAGGTTTCCCCCCAGAAGTGACATAACAGTGCACAAGGCACTGACAGATTTTAAAACAATTTCCTCCTTTCGTCACGTCAAGTGGCAGCAGGTAACAGGAGCTCCGCCCCAAATGGAATTCCCCATCCAGACCAGGAAAATGGTAAGCCTAATCATAAGCAAGTGCTTTTTGGCACAATGGACTCATCCATCCCAACGTGGACCCAAAATAATTCAAGAGAACAGGATGTTGCCCCTTTCATCCCCCAAATAAAGTACTCACACAGAAGATGAATGGGTTCAATTGGGATTTTTATTTATTGGGTGGGGGGTTGCATTTGTGTATGTGTGTGTGTGTGTGCCCATGCTGAGAGTCATGGCGACCTCTGGTGACTCCTACTCGGTCATGGAGGATGCTCAGAGAAGTGGCTTGATAGCTTGCCTCTGCCTGCCAGCCCTGGTTTTCTCTGGAGGTCTCCCACCCAAATACTTGCCCCGATTAGCTTCCGAGATCTGAGAAGATCAGGCTTGTCTGGGCTACCCAGGTCAGGGACTGGATGTTTTTTTTAATTATTATTTATTAACAACTGATCATGGACTTATTTAAAGTCACCCCTCAGTGAGCCATACTTTCTGTGCTGCCTGAAGCTTGCCATCTCATCCTGGCTCTAAACCCAAATCGGCCTGATTTCCCCTGTAGTTTTTCCCCCCTAGCCTGTGTACACTGATACGTGCCAGACTCCTGGACAAAGTTACTCTCAACAACACTCACTGGAGGTGATTAGTTTATTGAAGAACAGGGCTATTTTTGGGCAGGAACGCACAGGAACGGCGTTCCGGCTGGCTTCCAAGTTGGCCACACCCAGCAGGAACACATTAGCATAATAGACCACACCCAACAGCAGAAACTCATTAGGATTGGCTACATTAGGGGTGTGTGGCCTAACATGCAAAGGGGTTCCTGCTACAAAAAAGCCCTGGGTTTGGACAACAAACAAAGTAAACAGAATAAGAAGCAAAAGGTGGGTGTGGCTGGATGAGCACACTTCTGGTAACATGGGGCGTGTGGCCTAATACACCAATGAGCTGTGCTGTCAGGGGTGTGGCCTAATATGCTAATATGTTTCTGCTGTTGGGTGTGGCCTATTATGCTAATGAGTTCCTGCTGGGCTTTTTCTACAAAAAGAGCCCTGTATGAAGAATAAAGATGTTCCAAGCTAAGAACGTTGTTGAGTCAGAACTGAGGTTCTGGCATGAAAACCCCCCAATGAGACGTCATTCAAATGTTGTCCCCTCCAATCACCCTGCCCATTCATTCCCACCTAACCAGTGCGCTTCCAACCCCCCACCTGTAAATCACCCTTCCGTTATCTAGCCTAAGGTGGTAAGCACAGACACAGACCAAGGCCATCTGGCTGTCATCCCTGGGAAAGGGAGGTATCTTCAGAAGAGTTACACGAGATGCATTGCCCTACAATAAAGCCACTCTCACTCTCACAAGTTCACACTCCTCCTCCTCTGGACTTTCCCCAAACAACATGGCAAATGAGAATTGAGTTTGACAATATGCTGTGAGGAGCTGTTACTCCACCCCCCCTTCACCTGGTGATTCTCCAGCCCCAACGGGAGGGTACCAAGAGGGCTCTAACCACCAGACCGCAAGCCAGGAGAGGACAGTTTGGGCAGCCTCCTCCCGTCCCAAGATGTCTTAGGCTGGTTGCCCAAACATTCCTAGATTAAGCAAAGCCCTGCGCAATTGTAGCCTATCCAGCAAGGGTCTAACTAGTCTTACACCAGACCTAATTAAGAAAACAAGGCCCATCATGCAAAGTGATGCAGATGAAGAAGAAGAGGAGGAGGAGGAGGTGGTGGAGGAGATTGGATTTATACCCCGCCCTTCACTACCCAAAGGTGTCTCAGAGCAGCTTACAAACTCCTTTCCCTTCCCCTCCCCACAACAGACACCCTGTGAGGCAGGTGGGGCTGAGAGAGCTCCAACAGAAACTGCACTTTTTCAAGAACAGCTCTTGTCAGAACTACGGCTTGCCCAAGGTCATCCAGCCAGGTGCAAGTGGAGGAGTGGGTTAGGGTTAGGGTTAGAGTCCACACACTTAAATACTACACCAAACTGAAAAAGAACTCATTCTCGACCAGTCAGAAAATGTCCAGAAAAATCCTCCTTGGCCTCAAAGCAACCAGCTGATCACACCTTGCCACTGACAGGGGTGGGCAGGTGGGTAACACTGAATGGAAGTGGGGGGAGCGAGACAGTAGCTCTTCAGCATTTCAGACAGAGGTTCTGTTTAACGGGATGCCTTTTAAAATTAAAATACATTTTTTAAAAAAACAACATTCTCTTGCATAGACATTTTACCTCTGTTCGCCCAATATGGTGGCCATGCAAATCGGGAGAGTCACGGGCCGCTTGTGCTGTCATTCTGTCCGGTTGGTAGGCGCCTGGTTTGCCTGACCGTGACACTTGAGATGGATTTTATTCTGCAAAGGTTCTGAACTAGAGGCCATCAAGTGTGGATCCGACCTAGATAGCCCAGGCCAGCCCAATCCCGTCGCATCCCAAAAGCTAAGCAGGGTCAGCCTTGGTCAGTATTTGGGTGGGAGACCACCAAGGAAGCCCAAGATGGCGATAGAGAGGCAGGCAATGGCAAAACCATCTCTGAACGTCTCTTGCCTTGAAAACCCCACCAGGGGTCACTATAAGTCAGCCATGGCTTAATGGGGGAAGGGGAAGAAGTGTTATTCTCCTGTAATTCTATGTGGTGGGCAATGTTCCCGCTAAGCTGTGGGGTATTGTGAGCAAAAATCCTACTTTATGAGCTGCTGGCATTTAAGTTTTGAGCAAGCAATTTGGCCACTGCATAAATTAGTTTGCTCTGGAGCCATCCTTCCTGAGCTAAGACAAAAATGTGTAAGCTGGAGGCTAAAACACTGTGAGCCTGCTCACACTAACTCAGCTTAGAGGGAACACTGGTGGTGGGCATGTGGCACCTGACATTTCCTCAGCTGGTAGAAATCTGTAAAATGAAAATCGTTAACCAAAAAAAAGTGCAAAGTCTTGTGGTGACATTCTGACAGAAAAGAGATGGCTTTCCTTCCCCCCCTCTTTTGACAGACAACCCCAAAGAGACGACACGTGTTTTAGTTTACGTTCGGATCTTGGATGTGAATGACAATGCGCCACAGTTTGCCGTGTTCTATGATACTTTTGTATGTGAAAATGCCAGAGCGGGACAAGTAAGTATATTTATGTAAATGCTTCAAGTTCTCTGGATTCGTTTTTGGGAACAGGCACTGAGTCATTTACGTCTATTCCTTTAAGACTGAAAGATTTATTTTTTTTAAGCAACTTGGGAAAGAGAGAAAATGGCTAGTGGGAAATCAGATCCCAGCTTTGCACAGTAACATTTCCCAAGGGCATCAACATGTAAATTACTAAATGACTTTTCTTGTCTTTCCTCTGGAAAAAAAAAAAGCTTTTGTACTCTTAAAACTTCAAGGAGTTTTCTTCCCCCCTCCCTCCAGCATTTGTTTGGCTGTTTTTTCGGATTTGTCTTAAAAGACAATCTCTTAATTGCATTCCGCGCTGGCCTGGTGGAGGAAAGCACTATACGTAACCAGCAGTAATTTGTAATCAAATTTGATTTATTTATTGTTTAAAGAGCATCCTTCACTACAGACTTTGACTGTGCTTTGACTTGACAGGCATGGTGTTCCCAAGCACCACTGTTGGCATTCTATTTTGATGCAAATGGGAGTTTATCTCGAAACCGCTCTCTGTAGGCAAATCAAAGGAAAAAGCATAAAAGCAGTTAGTATCAGAAGGGCAAACATTTATTTTGCTTCGCCTCTTTGCCAGATGCTTTGGATTGTGCTTTGATCAACGGGAAATGACTGTGCCATCAAGAGGAGCAAAGGACCAGCCTTTAGGGGCTGTTGAGACTCACAGTTCTGCATCTGAAAGCAAATGCAGCATTATAGGCTGTGGAAAAGAGCAGAAGAGCAGTGGTGGGAAAGGCTGTTTCAAGCTTATGTTTGGTGTGAGTTTTGCTGCTCACAGGCATGGGCATAGAGTGGACGCTAAAGCTGATGACGCACCAGAAAGCTTCCTGCCGCGCAACGAGAGTGTGGCCCAGTGGTAGAGTGCCTACTTTCAGTGTAGAATATCCCAAGTTCAATTCTTGGCATTAAATGGATCAGGTAGGACATGCTGCAAAAGGCCCTCCATTTGAAACCCTGGGGAGCCTCTGCCAATCAGAGTAGACAGTCCTGGCCGCAGGCTTTTCCATGTTCTCATTTTCCTCAATTGTACGTTCCTGTTGCTTTGGGGTTTTTTTGTTGTTGTTGTCGTTCTGTTCTGCATGTGTTTCGCTCCTTCTACTGGATGACGTGATATTACATCACTATGTCCAGCATAAAAAGGTAAAGGTAAAAGTTTCCCTTGCTCAAAAGCTAGTCGATTCCTACTCTAGGGGGCGGCGCTCATCGTTTCAAAGCCAAAGAGCCAGTGTTGTCTGAAGACGTTTCCATGGTCATGTGGCCAGCATGACTAAATGCCGAGGTGCACGGAACACTGTTACCTTCCCACCAAAGTGGTACCTATTTATCTACTTGCAATGTCTTGCTTTCGAACTGCTAGGTTGGCAGGAGCTGGGGCCAGAAATGGGAGTTCACTCCATCATGCATGGAACACTGTTACCTTCCCACCAAAGTGGTACCTATTTATCTACTTGCAATTTCTTGCTTTCGAACTGCTAGGTTGGCAGGAGCTGGGGCCAGAAACGGGAGTTCACTCCGTCATGCGGCACTCGGTTCTCGAACTGCTGGACTACAGACCTTCCAGTCTGCAGATCAGTGTCTTCACCTCTGAGCCACCGCAGCCCAGAAGAGAAACCTATGGTTTAAAGCTGCAGGGAGATGTGCCAGACATAAAGCAATGTCATATTGAATCGACCTCTAGAGGGAGCAAAACACATGTGGAAGAAGGGGAAAGATCCAAAGCAACAAGAACACAAAGCAAGGAAATAAGAATGCAGAAAAGCCACTTGATAGACCAGTGGCCTGATAATGTTAGCTGGGTACAGATGACCGCACCCTGCATTCACTGAGCATGCAGGAAGGGGAAAGCAGATACAAGCACATGAGCACCCCCTCCCTGTGATCAGTGGTATGGCTTTTCAAACATCACTGATCACAGGGAGGGACAGGGTGTGCTGCCACTTCCCCTTTCACCTGCCTCTGCAGGTGACCAAGAGAGCACATGGAAGCAGTGGCACTTTAGCCAGCTCTCCCTCCCCACACATTCCAAAAACCTGTTGCGCTGTCAATATGTACCAAGCTAGTAAAAGGCAGCTTCATGTGTCGATGTGTTAGGCTTCAAAACACACACAGTAAGAACAATGGGATGTATATTTCCTTGGGATGAGGTACTGATATCCACACCTGCTACCTGGGCTTCCACCAATGAGAGATCTCTGTGAAGTCTGGAGCAAGGATTTGATGCAGAATGTGGGATCGAGCGCAGAGATAGAAATAGGAGAGTTTGTTTTCCAGTTTGATATGGGAAATCCACTGATTTCTGCCTGATTTTCCTACTGGGCCAAAATGACTGTGATTGGTGGTGTGTCTTATGCCATAGGGGGGAAAAATGGGAGGAGAAAAGCACCTGGAAGGAGGCAGTATAGAACAGAGGAGACAGGGTTAAATCTATATATCTAATAGCCAAGGGTCCCTCTGAGTGCGTATACTTATTTCCGCAGAACAAGGGCACCTGGAGGCTAAAGGGGTTTTACTTGGAGTACTCTCCAGGGTTGCAGAAAAATGCAAAAAGAAAAATACACAGGGGGGGTTAACCCCCCCCAAAAAAATTAAAAAAACCCTGAGTTGTTTGCACTTGCGCAGTCCAAACTCGTGGTTCCTTGCACTGGACTTGGAACTTCGCTCAGTGGCCGGCCTCCCTGTTGGCAGCAAGACACCCTTGGAATAATGGGGCAGGGGACACCGACGTTACCGGGTCCTTCCCAAGCAGCTGGCCTCCCCACCACCAGCAAGGCAGCCCTGGAGCCACAGGGCAGAGGATGCTGCCGCCAGATCTCTCCCAGGCAAGCAGCCTACCCACTGCCAGAAAAACGAGGAAACTTCAGAAAAGGAGGCCGAAGAGGGTGTGTGTGTGAGGGGGGGGGGAGAAAGAGACTGAGAATGGGTGGGGGAAAGAGGACATTGTCTGAGAAGGGCTGGGGTTAAGAGAGGGGTGAGACATACAAGAGGTGAGTGGAGAAAGGGGTGAGAAAGAATTCCGAGAGAAGGGGGTAGGGAGAAAAGCTAACATAGAAGGGGTGAGAGGGGGAGGTGAGGGAAGATTGATAGATAAGGGGTGAGTGTAGAAAGACAGGAAAGAACTTTGACAGAGTAGGGGGGAGAGGGAAACAAAGGTGGGGGAAATGCCCCCTCCCTGCAAGTTTCTTGTGGGTCTCCCCTTGTAACCCCTATTCCCCTTTCCCCCTGAAACCAGCAGCATCCAAGACTGCTTTTCATAAGAACATAAGAGAAGCCAAAGTTGGATCAAGCCAATGGCCCATCTAGGTTGGCAGGAACTGGAACTAGAGATGGGAGCTCACTCCATCATGCGGCACCCGGGTCTCGAACTGCTGACCTACTGACCTTCCACAGCCTGCAGTTCAGCGTCTTAACCACTTGAGCCACCGCAGCTCCTATCTATACCTTCTGGCTAATAGCCACCAATGGACCTCTGCTCCAGATGCTTATCACGAAAGCTCATAACCTACCACAAATTTTGTTAGTCTTTAAGTTGGACTTTTCTAACAATATTTATGGGAGGGAAGGGACAGAGCCTGAACTCCCAAAAAAAGGAGGCTGGATTTGCATTTTCAATTAAATAAAAATGCTTTACGACTATTCACTCGTCTCCAACAATACTTTCTGGAGCAGAATATTGTTTTCTAAGTTTGAAAGGATTAGCAGGCGAAACAATGGTGTTCCCTTGTCGCCAGTATTGAGTCAGACATGAAAAGATTAATTTGAAGAAAAATCCACTGCCAAGTTCCCAATGGGGCAACTATCGCCATCTAGAGTTGCCAACCTACAGGTTGCACCTGGAGATCTCCCACTATCACTATTGATCTTCAAACAATAAGGATCAGTTCCTCTGGAGAAAATCGGTGTTTTGTTGGGTGGACTCCATAGCATTATACCCCGCTGAGGTCCCTCTGCTCCCCAGACTACACCCCCAAAATCTCCAGATATTTCCCAAACCACAGCTGGCAACCTTAATTGCCATCACCGTTGGGAAATTTGGTTAATATAGCAGAGTCATAAAAGTATCTTATATATAATATAGCAGAGTCATAAAAGTATCTTATATATAAAGCTCATTTCATGTGACTCCTGGAACATGCTCAAACAGGCTTTGCCCAGGAGACCTGTCGATCACAAGGTCTCGCCATCCATTGGTGGCTGCATGCCCATGTGTTGTCAACATCCCGCCCACCCTTCGACAGAACTGCCACCCAGCCTTTCCACCTCAGTAAGCTGTGAGGTGATGGAGGCGGCACGTGCTCTGGCAGTCGAAAGGGCTTGCTCGCCTGGAACCCTACCTTCTCGCTTCCTTCTCCCCTGGTCTGGCGGCTCTTCCTGCCTCTGCGGTGTGATGCCTGCTGCCCTGATGCCGGCTTCTGCTGCTTCACCTGGCCCCGCGCTCCTCCACCCCTCCCTCACTCCACATCGGTCAAGGGCCGTGGGCTGGCTTTGGCGATGGTGCGGCCTCTGGGTTGCCTTCTGTCCCACCAGCAACTGCCTGTGGCTCTCAGTGGGGAAGCTCACCATCTAAACTTGGGCTAGGTGCTATGTACGCATTCTGTCTTCAGCCCTTTGGAGGCTGGGCAGGATAAAAATGGAATTGTGGGTAGAAATTGTGCCTTGGAGATGCCTAACTTATGACCTCCCCGTGGTGTCTTCATTCTGTTGAATGTGGGCTTTTGGTGGTGCTTGACCCTCAATTTGACCATTTGAGTGTGACAAGGAGAAAGGTCTTTTCTATCGTGTCCCCGGCCTGGTGGAAAGTTTTGTCTGAGGAGACTCATGCCCTGCACGATTTGTCTGCACTCTGCAGGGCATGTCGGACAGAGTTATTCCACCAGGAACTCCACTAATGTAATTTTGGTGGACTCTACTATCAACATTGTTGATTTTTATGCTCAAAGCATTAGCTTGCTCAGCAGGGCTTTTTTTGTAGAAAAAGCCCAGCAGGAACTCATTAGCATAATAGACCACACCCAACAGCATAAACTCATTAGCATATTAGGCCACACCCCTGACAACACATCTCATTAGCATATTAGGCTGCACCCCCATGTTACCAGAAGTGTGGTCATCCAGCCACACCCACCTTTTGCTTCTTATTCTGTTTACCTTGTTTGTGGTCAAAACCCAGGGCTTTTTTTTGTAGCAGGAACTCCTTTGTATGTTAGGCCACACACCCCTAATGTAGCCAATCCTAATGAGTTTCAGCTGTTGGGTGTGGCCTATTATGCTAATGAGTTCCTGCTGGGCGTGGCCAACTCCGGAGCCAGCCGGAACTCCGTTCCTGTGCGTTCCTGCCCAAAAATAGCCCTGGCTTGCTGTGTGTTGAGTTTTTAATAGGGTTTTATTGAAATTATGGCTTTATTATTGTTACTCTATCACTATGTGGGTAGCTGCCCGAAGCACCATTCTGAGGGAGGGGCGGGATAAAAATATAATGAAATCGATAAAATACCTAGTACACAGATCGATTCAGGTGTTCATAACAACAGTAATTCAGTGTAGAAATAACAGTGCTGTGCCTGACGCAACGGGGGAAGGATCCTTCTCCCCCTTCTATAAATGTCAGTAGCTGTGCACTGCCAGTCACACAACCTAATCTGGGTGGTGGAAATTAATGCAATTCCTCTACAAATGTTAAGCATGGGTAGGAGAAATATTGAGCACAGGAAGTGACATTTCTACTTAAATACCATTTAAAGTATATACAGTGAGGGGGAGAGATAAAGACGGAGAGAGTGCTTTCCCTCTACTCTTTAAACAGTTGTAATATTTAAAGGATTACTAAGCACCTGAACCTCTCAGCTGTCTTCTATGGTTGAACGATTTGGAGGTGCAATTCAGACATAACGAATAAAGGAAATGGGTGTTTATGATGGCGCAAAGCAGTCTGATTGTCCAAATTCTTCCCCCTCCTGCTTCCCCCTCCCCATTTTCCTCACATGGGTTTATAATTCATCTTACTCCAGTTCTTCATGACATGGAGCTCCATATACAGGTCCCTTCCGCACTTGGATCTCATCCCTGGTTTTATCAGAGTTCAACTCACAACACAATACCTTGCATTTATCCCTGGTTATGACAGCATCTGTTTATCCCGAGACAGGTGTGGGGCAAAAACAGGGTGAACTGAGGGGTGACATGATTGAGGTTTATAAGATTATGCATGGGAAAGAGCAGGTAGAGAAAGAGGTACTTTTCTCCCTTTCTCACAATACAAGAACTCGTGGGCACTCCATGAAATTGCTGAGCGGTCGGGTTAGAACGGATAAAAGGAAGTCCTTCCTTCACCCAAAGAGTGATTAACACTTGGAATTCACTGCCACAGGAAGTGGTGGCGGCTACAAGCATGGACAGCTTCAAAAGAGAATTAGATAAGCATATGGAGCAGAGGTCCATCAGTGGCTATTAGCCACAAGGTATAGATATTTTCTACAGAATTACGCCAGTAAATGTTTTTTGCATCTTATCTTTATTGACTCTTCATTATTTTTGTCACGGATGTTGTTTTTGGAATTCTCCCAGAATTACAACTGACCTCCAGACTACAGAGATCTGTCTTCCTGAACAAAATGACTGTGTAGTTGGGTAGACTGTATGGCATTATACACCATGGAGGTCCCTCCCCTTCCCAAAACCTGCCCTCCTCAGGGTCCACCGCCAAAATATCCAGGAATTTCCAAATCCAGAGTTGGCAGTTACTCCTGTTACCCAGTGACTGACTCCTACATTAACCAAGTTACAGGCAAAGACAATAGTACACTTAGAACAGATCAAAGGGAGTCCTTCTTCACCCAAAGAGTAATTAACAACAGTGGGAGGGCTTCTAATGTCCTGGCCCCACTGGTGGGCCTCCTGATGGCACCTGGTATTTCTGGTCACTGTGTGATACAGAGTGTTGGACTGGATGGGCCTTTGGCCTGATCCAGCATTGGCGTCTCTTATGTTCTTATAGTCTTATGAGTTATTTCAGATGCCAAATGACAATAGCAGGTGTGATTGGATTAGGTGTAGGGATGGGCCATGGAGAGCCACAGTCAGCAGACAGGAGAGGGTAAAATCCCCCCTAAGAGGCATTCCACTTCTCTTAGGTTCTTACTCATAACCTCCTCTTTCCTAGTTGAGCAACAACATATGCTTTGGAAGAGTCTTCCCTTTAAGCATTTGTTGGCACTGTTGAAACCTGTTGTTAATCACAATTGGGGAAAGGAGATTAAGGATCCCTTAGCCTGTAATAGGGTTTGGAAGGAGGAAGTTGATGCGCTAATAGTGTTGGGGAAAGGGGTCCTCCGAATCAAGGGTCAAAAGGAAAGCCTTTGGAATCCACGTTTGGTTCCTAGTCTCTATCCCTAGTCTGATTTTTACAGTACAATTTTAAATATAGCTGCAGCTCTCTAAGTCAATTGACTTCAATAGCCTTTTTTTTTGTCATCAAGTTGCAGCTAATGTATGGTGACACTATAGAGTTCTCAAGTCAAGAGATGTTGTACTGGCCCCAGTGGGTCTGGTGTGGGAGCAGGCGGAAGGTCCACAGAACAACCACGCAGAAAGTACCATGTAGTCACTCACAGCAAGGGTTCAGGCAGGAGAGTGTTCAGGTATCCAGAAAGGGGAGTCATCGGGTTGGCTGCTGGGAGCAGGCGGAAGGTCCACAGAACAACCACGCAGAAAGTACCATGTAGTCACTCACAGCAAGGGTTCAGGCAGGAGAGTGTTCAGGTATCCAGAAAGGGGAGTCATCGGGTAGCCCAAGTTTCGGGGGTCCAGAAGTCGGGTGGTCCAGGGTCCAGTCTAGGTTTAGAGCAGCAGAGGTTCCAGTCAGAGATTCAGGAGACAAGGTTGGCTGTTATGCAGCCATGGTACAAGTTGTATCCACAATGATCAGCTTCCCCGTGCCTGAATTTATAGCTGGCTCTCTATGGACTGTTTAGCTGCTGCTAATTGTGGCACACATCCCTGCAAGTACTCATCTGGCGACAGGTGTCTGCGATCCATCAGATGCTCACTGTGACGGCCTCTCAGGTCTGATCTCCACGAGAGTGTTCGGCACTCAAGGGGTGTTGGAGAAACACTGGGCCTGGCCTCCTCCCTCTCCTCCACTGGACTGGGTGCTATAAATTGCTTGCTGCTGGAGGAGAGAGCAGATCGGCTATGGCGTGTTGTCAAGAGCTTGTATCTCTTGCCCTTGAAGACTGATGGGCTCTATCTCAGCTGGGTGTTCCTCCTTCTCTTCAGGGGAGGTTTTGTTATCAGGCTGGTCATTCATCCAGTCAGGCTGGCTATCAGGGAGAGGTATGGCAGATGTTCAGAGGTGGTTTGCCATTGCCGGCCTCTGCATCAAGGCCCTGATATTCCTTGGAGGTCTCCCATCCAAATACTAGCCAGGGCCAACCCTGCTTAGCTTCTGGGATCTGATGAGACTCAGCTAGCCTGGCTAGCCAGGTCAGTGGACTTGGAAGGGTATAAATCTGTTTAGGATTGCACTGCTGGTGTGTATCTGATTTACCGGTTCATGCTTAATGAAGATAATGAATTCAGAGATCTATTTTACACACATCCTTTGGGACCACTCATATTTCTTCCAGCAGACAACCATGTGACAAATGTCAGCTGGATTTCTTTTTCTTTTTCCTCTTTCTCTACAGCTAATACAAACGATAAGTGCGGTAGATAAAGATGACCCCCTTGGAGGACAAAAGTTTTTCTTCAGTTTAGCTGCTGTGAATCCCAACTTCACAGTCCAGGATAGTGAAGGTATAATACATATCTACATGTGAGATGTTTAATGGTGGATGTACTTTCCTCTACTGTTTCCCTTTATTGTTTTTTTTTAATGCTTGGAGCTGAATTTAACAGGAATTTAGATTTTTTAAAAAATAGATCACACATTGGAACTCTTGGGTTGGATTCTGCATTTTGTGTCAGGGTATGTCTCCTTCCACCGGAGTAAAGTTCTTCAAGCAGAATGGATCTGCTTCTATGTGCCCATCATAGTGTGCAGAGAGAAACGACTGGCTTCCTGAAGCCAGAGAATATTGAGATATTTAGTTAATATAGCAGGATTTTGCCAAGTCATAAAAGCATGATACTGAGTGCACTAAATAAACTCCCGAGAAGTATATTGCAAAAAAAGATAAACTTACTTTTATTCAAGTAGATCCTCATTCAGGTTGCGGTCAAAAGATGAGAAAGACACCTAATCGAAATAGTACTTTCCCCATCACAAATGGCCAGCTTGTCCGGCATCATGCGTGTGGAGGTATGAGGGCACTGTCCCTACAGGAGAGACCGGCAGAGACATGTCTCTCCATGGAAGGCCATATTGAGGGAAAGTGAGGACAAATTGAGAGAGAGGAGGAGGAGTCAGAGGGCAGCTCCCAGACAGGCATCTCATTCAAGGAGATAACACCTATACATGCTTAGAGTGATGTCGCACTCTCTGCCTGAGACCCTGGAGCTCTTTCCAGTCTGTGTGTAGACAATACTGACCTTGATGGACCAAGGGTCTGATTCAGTACAAGGCAGCTCCATATTTGCTTTGAATTTCCTTGGAAAGCTAGGAATGTGCTGAATCCTACTGATATGTTTTAGCAGTCTTACCTGACACTCTTTGGGCTTAAGTTGACCTTTTTGAGATGTTGCTCCGGGGGAAAAATCCGCAAATTCACTCCTGGTTCAAGTGTAGTTAAATTCTATCAGTATGCTGTGTACATTACAATGTATCAGATCTGTGATCTGTCTGTAACGTATGCATTCTTTCTGATGAACTGGTCTAGATAATACTGCCCGCATCTTGACGAGAAGGAACGGCTTTAGCCGGCATGAAATAAGCACTTATCTCCTGCCAGTGGTGATCTCAGACAATGACTACCCCATCCAAAGTAGCACTGGTACTCTGACCATCAGGGTGTGCGCCTGCGACAGCCGAGGAAACATGCAGTCCTGTAATGCGGAAGCTCTTCTCCTTCCAGCGGGTCTCAGCACAGGAGCGCTTGTCGCCATTTTGCTCTGCATCATTATTCTGCTGGGTAAGTTACAGGAGAAGACATCATTGACTACATGAAATCTTACCGTAGAGAGATGTTTGGCCTTTGCCGGGGTGTATCCTGAGCTTGTGGGGTTTTTTAGAGATAGCACCTTATGTACTTGATACAACATGCCATGATTCACATACCTTTCAGGTAATGAAGCCCAAACTTTGCTTGCCTTGAAATTGAATTTTAGTGCAATATTGTTGTGGCAAGCAAAGCTTACAGATGCAGGCAATGCAATCACTGCAGCACATTTTAAGTTGTATCTTGTTAAACAAGAGAGCAGGTGTGGCGTATTGGTTAAGAATGACAGACTCTTATCAGGAGAACTGGGTTTGATTCCCCACTCCTCCATGTGAAGCCTGCTGGGTGACATTGGGCCAGTCACAGTTCTCACAGAACTCTCTCAGCCCCAACTACCCTGGCAACCCTAGACTACTGCCAGTTCCCCATGGCTGAATCTGCATTAGTCTTTCCCACCATTGCCACATAGTCTCTCAAATTACTTGTCTGCATTTCAGGTCGCATCTGTTCCCCAATTGTTTCAGCACAGCAGCGGCTGTCTGCATCATTTTATTGCCCTTTGGTGTTGACTTCGGGGTCACTGCAGTGCCTCTCCGCCCGATTTGCATCCGGTTTAAAACCGGTCCAAGTTCTCCTCTCCGCTCTCACACTGCTGTGAGCTATGACAAGTGGCATATCTGGTGTTTTGTCTCTTCATTCAGGAACTGGGTGGGAACTGCAAGCTGCCCGTTGAAATTCATTCTTTCTTCTTTTCCCAAGTTATAGTGGTCTTGTTTGCTGCCCTTAAGAGGCAGCGGAAAAAAGAGCCTCTGATCTTGTCTAAAGAGGACATCAGAGACAACATTGTGAGTTACAACGATGAAGGGGGTGGTGAAGAAGACACCCAGGCTTTTGATATCGGCACGCTGAGAAACCCTGCTGCTATTGAAGATAAGAAGCTCCGCCGAGACATTATACCGGAAACCTTATTTATACCACGGAGGACTCCTTCTGCTCCAGATAACACAGATGTCCGGGATTTCATTAACCAAAGGCTAAAAGAGCATGATAACGACCCCTCGGCCCCTCCATATGACTCCCTGGCAACCTACGCTTACGAAGGAAACGATTCAATCGCCGAATCTTTGAGTTCTTTAGAGTCTGGCACTACCGAGGGAGACCAAAACTATGATTACCTCAAGGAATGGGGGCCTCGGTTTAATAAGCTTGCCGAGATGTACGGTGGAGGTGAAAGCGATAAGGACACTTCGTAACCTACAGTAGGATATACAAGTTGTGGGGGTTTTTTGGTCCATTTGAGAGGAAGTAACTTTATAGACACCTTCTCCACGTGACAATATTTTGATGTTCAGGAACCTTCTCCTGCCACTCAGCACAATGGGTTCTCTTTCTCGTTCTGTTTCGAATTTTGCTCATTTAATGTCCTTTATTCTTTCTCGTAGGATGTCACACGGAATATATGCAGCGTTTGATTTAACCCCTTTCCAAAAGCCAAAGCTATTGAAAATTCAGTATCATCCATTTTATTAAGGGAAAGATACACTATTCTTGAGCAGGCTGACAGTCTCTCTCGAGGAACCTTAGGTACAAATTGCTTCCGTAAAATCAATGTTCTACGCCTTCAGGTTCAGCTTTTTAAAGACCCCAGCCACGAACCACAAAGGGTCATGCATGCACATTTTACATGCACTTTTTTTTGTAGAACTATTTGTTTTAATTTTTTTTAGAAACTGCCCACATGAGATACCTAGACTACTCTGAAGCTTTTGCATAGAGAACACTCCCACTAGAGTCTACAAGCCTTGAAAACAAAGTGCTCTTCTAAAATACAAAATTACTCCTCTTCATAAGAATGCCCATCAGGTTTTTCGATACTAACTGGTGCCATTTGGAGTCTCCTTCTGTTTTGTTGAGTTCTTGAAACTCTTTCAAGATTAAAAAAAAAGCTTTTGGTGCAAGAGCTTTTAAAGTGGAAATGGCAAGGACACATACTCTTTACTTCCTCATTTTAAAATTATCGTACATCAAATCCCTAGATTGCTCTTTAAGCCTCCTGAGTATAAAAATCAGGCCGACATACTGATACACATCGTCTTCCCCAGATGTATCACTAGTCTTAGCAAAATTCTTGTGGCTTAGTTTGTTATTCTCATCTAAATTTGTTTTATATTGCACTCTAGATGTGACCTGGCACTATAAACTGGGAATCTAATGAAAGGAAATTAGTTTTCCTACACATACATTTACTCCAATTTCAATTTAGGCTGAATTGTCATGACTAGTGTAAGCTGGGGAACCCCACACTTGTGCAGTTTCTGGAAAAGAAAGTCAAATTTCTTTCAAGTGCATGCACAGAACATCTTGCACTTCTTTTTGGATCGTGGCCCAAGAGGAAAAAAGAAGAAGACAACAATATGTCCCTATTCTGTACATTATAAATTTCCCCCTAAAATGTACACGTGGTGTTAATGTGATATGCAGCTGGTTTAAAAAACAAACACTTTGTGCAACTTCATTTCATCAGATTCTATCTGCCAATGTTTTATATTTATATTTTTGTATTTATTTTTAAGAAATAAACCAGTTTTTGTAACTATATTCTTGCCAGAGTGATTCTATAAGGGTGAGGAATACGTTACCATTTGAAGACCTCTAAAGTGTTTCAAACTCATGGTTCAGAACCTGCAAACACCAAGGCCTCACTGCGTTCAGACATACCGGTGGAGGTCAGACCATTCATTGTGTTGGATCCAGCCAGCCCTTTCGCTCTGTCTCACCCAGTTCCCCACCACCGCCACTACAGCCCCCATTCCACATGCGTTTTGAACATACAGGCCCCATGGTTCTCAGCTCAGCCTTTTTCAGTGGCCAAACAGAAGCCATCCTTCCCCCCGCCCCACTAGCCAAAGAGCTGACTGGATCCAACCCATTGGCTGTTTCCAAGTCTTCAGAAAGTGCAGCCTCACTTTCTTGTTGGCCCCTAAGCGCTGATTACTGGAAATGAATACAAATGCACAGGGCTTTTTTTGGGCAGGAACGCACAGGAACGGAGTTCCAGCTGGCTCCCAAGTTGACCACGCCCAGCAGGAACTCATTAGCATAATAGGCCACACCCAACAGCAGGAACTCATTAGGATTGGCTACATTAGGGGCGTGGCTTAACATGCAAAAGAGTTCCTGCTACAAAAAAGCCCTAAGTTTTGACAACAAACAAGGTTAACAGAATAAGAAGCAAAAGGTGAGTGTGGCTGGATGACTATACTTCTGGTAACATGGGCGTGTGGCCTAATATGCTAATGAGCTATGCTTTCATGGGTGTGGCTGGATATGCTAATGAGTTTCTGTTGTTGGGTGTGGCCTATTATGCTAATGAGTTCCTGCTGGGCTTTTTCTACAAAAAAAGCCCTGCAAATGCACATAATGTGTTATCTCACAAACAACTAGGTAGAGATGTTCTGTGCAGTACAGCTGCAGCTGGTGATCTTATATTTGATTAGAGGAGTCCCTGGTCTGAACCATATCTCTTGGGAATGGCTATACTTTGCAAATCTCTCTTTTAAAAAATGGTCAGAGGGTGGACTCCAGCTGGGGGCAGAAGTATAAGCATTTCACCAGTGTAAACCCCCCACCACCACATAGAATGGCTCCATGCATGTACAGTAATTGGGTCTACACGAAAAAAGTTAATGGGAAAAAAGTAATTGTGCCCCTCAGCTATTATCAGTGTTGAGAAAGCATCATTGAATCCAGTCCCTTGCTCCTCTTCCTGAGCAGTGATTGGATGGCATGACTGCTGACAGAGGGTGTGTGCAATTCTGGACGGGGCAGAGAAACTGAACAAACAGCATCAATTTGCGCCCGCTTTTTGTCATCCCAACGAAGCAACCAGAAAGAAGGACCCTAAGCAAACCCCAAGTGGAATGCCCTGCCTGGTTGGTTATATTTGGCATGATAAGGCTTCAGGTAAGACACAAACCTGATATTATTCCATACCATATTCGCACCATGGTCTTACAGTGGGAAATGCTCAGCTTTGCATCATTCCAATAATTCAGTGGACATTCCTGTGAATTTCACTTTGTATGGGCGCACACAGAATGCACTATGGGATGTGTATGTTTTGTATATTAAATGTGTGCAGGGGTCATTTCCTGCAGGAGTGCGCAGGAGTGGAGCTCCAGCAGTAAAGATCCCAGGGGGCGGGCACATGCAAGAAGCCCCGCTCCCTGCTCACAGCAGCCCCGGGCCACAAGGAGCAAGAAGCAGCCAGGTAAGTTGCAGAGCCCCCCCCCAGATAGCAATTCAAAACAGTCCAGTGGCACCTTTAAAGCCAAGGTTTATTCAGGTACAAGCTCTCCCTCCTCTGTGAGGGCAGATCTGCGTGTCCCCCCCCCATAGCTAGCAATCCAAAAGAGTCCAGTGGAGTCTGAGCAGTGGGTGTTGCCTTCTGACACACTTCCAGTGATGTCAGGGTGTGTGGCATATGCAAATAAGTTATGCTAATGAGCTCCTTCGTCTCTTTTTCTACGAAATGACCCTTGGATGTGTGTATGCCCACAATGGACCATCAAATTGCAGCCAACTTATGGCGACCCCATCAGGTGCTTGCAAGGCAAGGTAGAAGCAGAGGTGGTTTGCCTTCCTCTGCAGAGTTTTCCTGGGTGCTTTCTCATCCAAGTACAGACCCTGCTTAGCTTCTGAGTTCTGATGGGATCAGGTTATACCATGCCACCTTCCATGTATATTGGATCCTTGTTATAAACAATACTTCTGTAGTATATCAGTGATGATAAATAATGTGTCTCCTTTGCATACCTCCTTCCAAAAATATTCCGCACAGACCAATGGAAGATGGGAAAAGAATATACACATGTGGTTGCATTTCATGGCATCTCAGCTTGGAACAACATATTCTGGGGAGAATTCTTATGGGGAAGTATCCCTACTACCTATGCAGGGGCAGAAGATCCTCTTCCAACCAATTTCTGAGTATGTATCATCTGCCCCTCTACCTAGTGACTCTGATGGGTAGTTGAAGCACAGGATAATGGAAGGGCAGAAGGGGAATTTGAAGCACATTGCAGAAAGAACTGGAACAAGCCAAGGTATACTGGTGGGTGATGTGGTGGTTCATTGGAGGTACTTCATTGGGACAGGGCACTCTTACCAAAAGGCATCTGGAGGTGACAGACAGTGTCAGCCATTCAGCCCCTATGCCTAGTACTGTGATAGCAGCCCCAATGCCTCCCTTCACTGCCACCCCCAGAAGTACTTGGTTGAAGACACCCAAGCTCCCTTTCCTCAGAAGAGGCTGTAGTATGAATGGGAATATAAAGATTTTTATATATAGGGTTTTTTCCTTCTTGATTGTTCATATTCATATTTCTCTGGTTTTTATAGATTTATTCTTTAAGTAATATTTTATTAGGATGTTAGAGAGGCCTGTTATATAGAAGGATTTCCTTCTGTAGGTTTGATATTGTTAGCAGACAACATAATAGGTACAAAGTTCATGATTCTGTAGTTCGTAGGGCAAACCTTTCAGTGTCTGGGTCAGATAAGATTTTAGTCTCGTATCAGTTAGTTTGACGTAGATATATGTTTCTTTATATCTGGCCAATCAGAGGATTATTACTCAAATTACCACTGTCTTTTGTAACCAATTATGCTGTTTGAATATTGTTTTCTTGATGATGTCAATCCATGTATAAAATATCATGTATTTCCTGAATATGTTCAGAATATGTTCAAGAAGAAGAAGAAGAAGAAAATGAAGAAAGTTGTCAATTTTTGATTAACTATTTGGTCTAATTGTTTTCCTATTAATTGAGGCATTTTTCCTGATTATGCTGAGAAGAAAGCAGTCAATTTTGGATGGACTATTTGGTCCAATGGTTTTTCTGTTAATTGAAATAAAACATAGATCTTTCTCCTCATTTGACTTCATTTTTGACATGGAATCTAATATGTACAACAAGGCCATGGCTCCGGGTTGAAACATGTGCTTTGCATACAGGAAACTCCAGGTTCAGTCACTAGTATTTACAGGGTTTTTTTGTTTATTTGTTTTTTTAAAACCAAGGTAGTAGATAATGAGAGAGACCTCTGCCTGAAACCCTAGAGAGAGCCGCTGCCAGTCTGAGTAGACGATTGTGACCTTCATAGACCAATAGTTGGACTCAGTAGGAAGCAGCTTCAGTTGTTCCCCTTCACCAGTGCTTAACAGCAGAAGCTGGTAGACCTCATACAAACT